GGTCGTTAACAATAATCAGTTATCATTAAATACATTCAAGATCAGGTTAATTTTACACGTCTTATACCAAAGACAAAACCGATGAACCAGACAGATACTGCTGAAAGTCTGTTATGTTTTTATGTGTAGTTTCTTTAAAAGTGTTAAAGATCGTCTCAAATATACAAATTTCTCTACGAATAGTTCAGTAATCGAAGTACGTGAANTTAAAAGTGTTAAAGATCGTCTTAAATATACAAATTTCTCTACGAATAGTTCAGTAATTGAAGTACGTGAAATATTTTGAAAGAAGTCTAAGAGTCATCTAAGGGATGAAAACCGTAAAAAAATTAAAAAAAAAAAAAACAGGCGAAATTCTATCATTGAATATCTCTCGTCAGGGTAACCTGCCCAAGTTTTAGCTCAAAAAGGTTGTCTTTAGAGAAAGCGGACTTTGGATAAAAATAGTGTTGGAGATATACGCGTTTAGTCACGGCTTTTAAGTTTTTTTATTGTCCTCCTCCGCATATAGTTTACACATTTTATGGCGGATCCACGCGCCGCTATGCATTCGCATTAGAACTTTATATAGAACAAAGGTTTTTTTTTTGTTTCTAAGAAACTGCACACGCGGAGGCCACGTACGTTACAATTATACAGTACATCGTGTACCACCACGGACGGCAATATGCCCAGAGATGACACATCTGGTGAACATTACAAAAGAGTCAAGAACACATTCACGCACACCCGTAAAATAATAGTTATTATTATCGCATTTTTATGTTATTGTTATGGACGCCATGTTACATTATACCCGGTCCCTGTCACCCGCCACCTCATCGCAGCTCGTTACTTATCTCGAGTAATGGCAATGAATTATTTTGAAAACTCGACGTGCTCTCCACGACCTCAGACTATTATGTTTCAGCTGCCGGGAGAAACTAGTGCAGATTACAGAAATCCGGGACGGAGTTTTTAGACGACAANGTGCAGATTACAGAAATCCGGGACGGAATTTTTAGACGACAAAAAAAAAACAATTTTTTACTTAATTTTGTATCTTTTTTCAGACGTACCGAGATAGTGACGATGACGTGAATAATAACAGCTATGGTGGCAATGTGGAAGAGACGATATATGCAGAGCCAACCTCCGCCCGTCTCTTTTACGACCAATAAAACGCAATAATAGGGCGGCAGATTTACCGGTGTTTGTTTAAATTGAAAGGATACGCACATACTCTATTTTAATCCTTTTAACCGCACCAGATTGATACCGCCGTCGCTTCTTTTCCGCGACGTTGAACCGTATCCAAAGAAAATAGTTCATCAGCATCAGTAGGTGTAACTGGAAATAGACTTGAGCGTTCACTTTCAGATACATAATAGACCTCTTCGTTTTAATTACATTGACATATTATTTTATAAGTTTCGTACAGCCGACAAGCACTTGCCAATAACTAAACATTCGAAAACAAAACAAGACCAAAGCAGAACCTTTACGCTTCATGTTGGTAATTTTGTCGACCTATCAATTCCTAAACGCACAACAAGGTGGCAACAGGCGGATATTGCAGCAGTGTAAATCTATCGGCAGGGGCGGTAGATTATTTCCGTCTTGGGTGCTAGACGCGTGAAAAACATTATTGTGAAAAAAATAAATCGCGGTTCTCGACGGTAGCGCATGTGTTGGCTATTAAGTCCCTGTAGTCTCCGGTTCAACGAGGTATTATTATGGTATCCTTCTGGAAACAACGGTACACAGACGGTTCATCGCCCTTACACGCTCTTATAGCCTGCGGGGAAAAGGAACCTGTTAGTGGGTGAGTTTCTCACGGATGTCTGCGGTTGGGTTTTGCGTAGATTGACTGTTTATTAAAAAGGTTTGTGTTTCTTCTTGCTGTCGAAACAAAAAAGTAAATTCACAATGGAAAACAATTGTATCGATTGTGTTTCGGCGGACACTCGGCTTATCTCACCGAGACCGTATGGGCTTGGCGCACCGGTCTGCTGGGGATCTGGCAACCTGACATTAATAAATAAACACAACCGTTAAAATATGATTAAAACGTCATCGAGTGATGCGAATCGAAAGTACTAGCCAAAAATGAAACGGCAAACAAACACTACCAAACCTTATAATTATTCGAAATAAATTTACAGAAAAAATGTCTTGGAATCTCAACACGGGCGTCGAACAATGAGCTCTTCTATGTTACGTTACTGACATGTTTCAGTTGTGTTATTAAATAATTGTTTGCCGAGTGAAAAATTCCGTAAATCTATTTTTATGGACCTAAACAAAATCAAGTACGCCAACGCGACAGGCGGCAATGATTGTGAACAATAAAAATTGATTTTAACACACGAATAATAATTCGTATGACAAGCCAAACGAATTACTGAACATTGTGCGGAGGCAATTCATTTTGAGGTCGGTTTATTATTTTAACAATGGCAGTTGCTGAAGCGATTCTTTTTTATACGCCAATAAATGTATTTTTGGTCTTTTGTTTTTGCATAGGTGAAGATTTTTGTGTTTTTGACAGTTTTGGGTGTAATCGGTCGTGTAATAACACACACAGCGACAACAAAAACAGTTACAACGGCCAATATACGTTTTATTTTAGATTCCAGACGCCACCGCCGCCGTCACCAACACAAATTTGTACGTTCTCATTATTATTATTTCAACAAAACAAAGAACATTATTTTAGATGACGTCCGAGACGGGAAGAACAAATATAAAATAAACGAAAAAAAAATTGTTCTTTAAAACTTTGTATTTTTAACGGCAGTTCATTATATAATATAAATTTCCAAAAAAATGTTTTGTACAAATAATGTTACAATAACTATTTATCACAATGATTAAGAGGAGAAAAGTACAAAAAGGATGTATTATTTATTCGCTAAAAATATAATCTAATCCTATGGCTTTTTTTAATATACTTTAATTTGTATTCTTTCAACAGAGTACAAACATAATGAAACTATGAAGGAAAACGTTTATTATAAATAGTTACAATATTCTATAAATAGTAAAAGGAAGTCGTATACATTGTTTTTTATTTTTTTTCATAGTAAAAACTTTTTTAAAATATTATTACTAAGAACATGTAAATCGAATGCACTTTCCAAAGTCAAACAAGATGAAAAAGAATTCGACTTCCGAAATATATTTTTACCGAAGACGTTCGACGTAAACGATATGACTGTCTCTGTAAAAATTGTTTGACCTGACACGTTTTTCGATATTTTCTATCTTCGAGAGTTTTTGAACAGAGAAAAAGAACTAGAATAATTAATTACTACTTCATTAATACAACTGCAGTCGGCCTCTTTGAACGCCGGTTTAGATAAGTGTTGCATAATATTAACGTGTTGCCAACCGCCAAAAAATGGTACTCGCTTCATACTTTTAGCTTTTTATCAAACGAGGATTACACGCATCACATTAACGAGATTAAACGAACCGTCTGGGAAAACGTTTGATTTTTCTTACTCGTGTTGCAAGAGCTATGTGTTTTTTATTCTATTTTTCTTTTTATGACTTTTCGGTGCATTTACTACAAACCGTTAGTGTATGTGGACACCGGAAATTCGTTAACGTCGTCAACCTTTTCATGTGTCAACGTATGCACTCGCTCGCGGACTTGCCGCTAAACGGTTTCGGTCAGTTACAAACTGTAATAAACTCGGTACATAAAAACGTACATAAAAAGAGATAGAAAGACCTGCAGAATGCACACAAAAATTATTCAAGGCGTCCGTCAACAGTTTAGTTCAGTCTAAATATGTATTAATTCAATTTTTTAACGCGCACGATCTGCGTACATTAAAACCGGATAATAAAATTCATTTTTTACATCAAAGCTCAACTTGACGAACGAATGGCCGCCGCTCATAGTTGCTCTGTACGCATCATATTATGTATAAATAAATAATTTAAGATTACAGCGAACGACTCCGACGTCTTTAATGACATTTTTTCTCACAATAAAACTCAATAAAAATCACTGTGCTCAATTCGCCAACTAAGAACACGAATCTTGCAGCGACTGTGTTTATGGGCGACATGAACGGGAAAATTCAAACGACACACTTAATCATTTAATACGCAACCTTTACAATGTTAATATACGCCAACAGTGTACTGCAAGCGATTTTTTATATCGGTTTAGCTATTATTATAATTAAATATTCGATAAGTGTCTCATTTATTTGAGGATTATTTATATAAGTAATACCGATGTCCATTCAACTAAAATGAAATTCGCAAAAGAATATTAAAATAAATTATCATTTTGTGCCACTCTAAACAGTTAGAAGAGAATTAATACATTCCTCAATTCATAATGATTTAATTGTCAAGATGGTCAGGTTTGAATTAATTTTATCTAGACGAATACGTTTAAGTCAAAATTAATCACAGGTATTGTGCTATCGAAAGAAATTCAGATTGTATTGTGATGAACAAAACAAATTAAAAACAGCATGTCATTGAACCCATTAATGAGAATTCAAGATAATGTTATTGTAATTTTATTCGGGAAATATTGACTGGTAAACAATAATAGTGAACCGATTTACAACTGTTATGAGGGTAAATTAAAAATAGCATCTAATTATGGAGATCTGACAAAGAAAACTATAATGTAAAATTTTAAATTGTAACAGCTGTAGATTTGTATTTTTTATTTGATCAACATGATCACCAAAGTTCAATTGATAATAGATTTATCTACACGATGATATGAAATTGCGAAAAATAATTTTCTTTCACACCTAAGCCATCACATCTCGTCTGAACGTAATTGCTTAAAAATCAAAATATAATGTCACGTGTAAAGGACGCAATTATGGACATTTTAGTAAGGTTACCACGAGCGATAAAAAGCGTAATTGATAAATTCGCTACTACACAAAATTTCCAAAATTATTTTAGCGATAATTTTGAATTTGAAAACAACATACAAATAGGGTTTTTACATAAAAATTGCGTTTACTCACCAAAGTAACTGTGGGTGCTCGATACGACATCGGCCGAATCCTTTGGCACTGACATGTCGCTAATGAATGTCTTCAATGTAAAGTATTTTAAATAGTAAAATGAATTGCGAACAAAAATTTATTTAACATCTACCGACGACGTAAACGAAATGATCTCTCGACGCAAATCACTATTTCAGTTGAAAAAAACAACAATCGGTTTGGAAACAGTTTTCGGGGGTAGTATTACGAAAATGAACGACGTGCCTTCGGTCCGAATTCAACGGTGACGACGGCGGCGCGGCGACGATAACAAGTGCGATAAACGCGACGTACGCCGACTGACTGACGCACCGACTACTGCTGTTTGCGGGCGGCGGTGGCGGTGGATGCTTCCGTCGGGTACTGGTGCCGCTGCTGCTGTTGCCGTCGTGTGCCGCTGCTCACCGGACGCTATGCGATACCGAATCGTTGTGATACACTGGCGGTGCGTTACCGGCGTATGACCACTGCCGGTGGGGGCGGTGGCGGT